CGAGTTGTTGAGCAAGGCGTTGACGACGCCTTTGGAGTGCCCTTTTGGACAGAATCGGAGTTGCATCATTCATCGCCTTTGAGGTTGATGGGAGAGCCGGATTTGCTGTCTTGACCACGCTGAGCAACATGGGGATGTTGTGTGGTGCAAAGGCAGCGGAGGGCTCTTGGTTCTTTGAGTTGGAAGTCCCACGAACGTTCTTGGAAGCGGATGTCTTCTTGCGCCGGTTCGGGGAGGCAGATCTGGAGGAGGAAGAGGAGAGGTATTCTTCGAACTTCTTCTGGTCGAACTCGTATTCGACCTCTTCATTCACCCGGATCTTGAAGGCCGGTTGCGTCACGACGATCTCGGGGGCGAGATCGTTGGCTCCCACTGTGGTCGCCAGCTTGTTTTCGGTAAAAGTCGCTGTTTTCATTGATATTCTCTTTTTGAGATCTGTTACAACTTCAAGCGTTACAACAGAATAAAATGAAAACAAAAGATATTACAACTTAAACGAAAATAAACACGAGGTCCCGGTTTGGTGCGGTCTCGCTTGCGTGGGTTGTTGGCCTGTGACGGGGATGTTGATATCCGTGGACCGCCGACTCTTCAAGATCTCTTTTCCGGTATAATCCGGCAGAGTTTCGTCTATCCGCGAAGGGATATAGAAACAGAACCCCGTCGATCCGCGTGAGATCTCAGAGGTGTAAAGCTTATGTCTCGGCTAAAACGAGGCACTAGCTCTCCTTTGTATCACCGCTAAGGGCAACACTAAGGGAAAAGAAGGGGGGTGAATGAAGGGCTGATGAAGAAATCCTTACTCCTCAATCCGGCAGGGCTTCGCCGCTCTCTTAGAAAACCCCGACTCCTTCCTCCGGCAGGGCTTCGCCGCTCCTCTCTGGAATTTCAGATCTCAAAGGCTAAAGCTCTAGATCTGAAATTTCTCTCCCAAAACCAAGGCCAAGAGAATGGAGGCCCTAGGGGCCTATTTATAGGAAAAGGAGAGGGGTAGGGGGCTGGTTGAGGACACCCCCTAGGGGGGTGTCTCGGCTCCAAAACCGAGACACCCCTTGGGGTGTCTCGGCCATGGCCGAGACACCCCCCATGGGGTGTCTCGGCCAAGGCCGATTGGATGCGTGATGAAGAATTCGATCCGCTCTGATGGTTGGATTGTCTTTAGAGTGGTCGAGGCACGGAGGGTGTTGTCCTTTTTGTGAACAGTGCCGGGCTTCCCGATTGGTCCGGGTCTTCGTGATTCCGAAGTCCTATCTGCTCACGTAACTCGTCGATTCACTTCAATCGTTCATCGACGTCAATTAGGCTCATGCGGATTGGATGGTGACGTTCATCGTCGCTCGTTAACATTGAACCGGCTGTGGAGAACTATAGGCAATTTTCGATGCCTACACTCTCCATTAGATTTATGGTATGCTCAGCTAGGCCTGTCCATCCGGGCCGGCCCGGCCCGGCCCGGAAATCCGGGCCCGGGCCGGGCAAAACCGGGACCCGGACCCGGGCCCGGGCTGGCCCGGGTGATTTTCCTTTTTTTTTAATTTTTTTTAGTTTTTTTTATTTTTTCCAAATTTTTTTAATGTTATTTAACTTATAAATTATAAAAAAAAGACAAGAAAAATAACAAAAACAATAATTTTATTAATTACTTAAAATGATATAAATTACAAATAAGAAATGATAAAAACATATTCTTTATTAATAATTGATAAATCAGTTACAAATTACAAGTACAAATATTTTGGAATTAATCGCATCACAATAGATAAGTAAATTCTAACTAGGTTGGCACCTACTCACCTATATCACTATCATTTGCAATTATTTCCAAAATAATTCTTTACAAATTGTAAGCTAAAATATAAAAACTACAATTTATTCTTTATATCTATCTGCTAGTTCCAATTCTTCAAATTTATCTTCAATTCCAGCCATCCGATCGATGCCTTGCGTTCGCTTCTCGTACCTCCACCAATCTTGTAAGCACATCACCGCTTGTACAGTATACGGATCCAAGCATGTCCTGTGATCGTCGATCAAACGACCTGCTGTGCTGAAGGCGGATTCCGAAGCTACCGTCGAAACCTGCACTGTTAGTAAATCACGAACCATGGTGGAAAGTATAGGATATGAAACTGATCCATATACTTTCCACCATTGCAAAATATCTAAAGCATTTCCTTGACATCTAACTAAAGAAGCAGAAAAATATTCATCTATTTCAGAAACCTCCGATGATGACGATCCAAGTCCAGATCCACCAGTTAGCTCGGCTACCATTGCATACCTATCAAAACTTACACTTTTACCTCGGGCTCGGGATGAGCTCGAAGAAACCGAAGCTGCAGACTGTTGTGCAGCTACACCATGTCTAGCTGCATACTCATCATATAAAGTTTGAAAATAATTTCTAATAAGTAAATGATGAGTAGTAGCATTCAGGGTGGTTCCATCATCTAAGTCTATAACCTGTCCACCATACAATGACTGTAACAAACTTCGAAGGCCAATATCCTTCAAGCATGGATCAATAAGAACCCCCAAACCAAAAATATGAGGAATAGGCCTAAAATACTTATTAAATTTGCTCTCCATTTCAAAAACCATAGGTCCAAAAGTAGCATCCAAACGATATTTATCAAAAAAATTTTGAATATTTAAAATTTGTAAAGCAGCTAAAGTAATGGTTGGATAATAACAGCCAGATAATAACATGGTAGCATCATAAAAAACTTGTAACATTTCATTTAAATTACATATAACTGTCCATTCATCTTCAGTTATTCCATAAGTGCTACCAGAACTAGAACTAGAAGCATAATAGTTTATAAAATTAGTTATAATGTCTTTATATTTTATTGCTACACTTAACATTGCATATGTGGAATTCCACCTATGGTCAACATCTTTTGGAATTAGTCTAGGCTTTATATTTTTTCTTTTATAAAATTGTTTCCATCTTTTAAGTCTTTGTTCAGAAGCACTATGCATGTAAGAAACTGTTCTAACCTTTTCTATCATGGGTTTAATTTCAGTAAATGCACTTTGAACAATTAAATTTAAAATATGACAGATGCACCTAATATGAAAAAGATCACCATGACATGGCAATGATAAAGATGATCTGATAAAATCAACAGCTACATTGTTATTACTTGCATTATCTAGTGAAAGAGAAAATATTCTTTGTGAAATTTCTAATTTCATAAGTTCTTCAATTATTAAATTTGCAACATTAGCACCAGTATGTGACTCTTCTATTGCAATAAAAGAAACAACTCTTTTAAACATTTGCCAATTTTCATCAATCCAGTGTGCTGTGATACATAAATATCCAGTTTGTGCTCTAGATGTCCAAATATCAGAAGTTAAAGAAAATTTACAGTTTAAATT